CTTTTTGACATCACTCACTATTTTAATTACTCCCTTTGAGAGCTCATCTCTCCTCAATCCTCTGCTGACTGGCTTTAGATCAATGGGAACCTATAACACAAAGGGTGATGGGTTTTATGTGTTTGTGTAGTCTACATAATTAAGTAAAATTACTTTGAGGCACCTGTATTGAAGCCGTTTATCAATAAATAATCAGAAGAGAAAGAGTTGCTTGCAAGGCTGTTCTCATTTGGCTTCTGTCTTGGACTGTTTTTAAAACAACCTTAAAGGCTATACATACATATGCTCTTGAATTCCTCATAGAGGCAAATTGCCAAGTTTTCTTAACATTAATAATTAATTCTATTCATTTTGCAGTTTGCTCTTGAGGTCCAGGACTGAATAGTTTGTTTTTGTAAACAGCACAAGCACAGATTGTTTCAGTGGGAAGGTCAGTGACAGGAGTAATACTTTGCCAGAAAACCATTAATTGGCTGAAAAGACACTTTTTTTGTGGACAGAGGACAGTTTGCCCTTAAATGTTGGCAAGCAACATCCTTAATAGTAAAAGTACATACCACACTATAGTTTAGAGTTTGTTGTTCATATCTTTTTCCCATCTCTAGCCAGCCATAGCCACCTGTGTACCTTAGCACAGCAGTGCTTTTGAGCTAAATGCTAGCATGCTAACATGCTTGTGCTCAACATGGTCAGCGTCTTTGTTTAACATATTAGCATATTAGCATTTGCTCATTAGCATTAAACAAGAAGTAGAGGTTGATATTTTTCCCTAGATGCTGCCTGTACAAGTCAATTAAGGACTATAAAAGAGATCAAATAGAGACTTTTCCCATGCCAATCTATCCAATAGGTATTACGATATTTCAATAGGGCCGAAGTTACAATACTATGGCCAAAAGGTTGTGTAGTAAACAAAGAACACTTTACTTCCTTAATTAAACTATCAACTGCTGCTACTGTTTGCTGCTTTAATTATTTCTACTGTCTCCAACCTAAATGATCTCTGCCAAGACAAATGTTTTCCAAATAGTAACAATTATCCCTCCTCTTCCAGGGCAACAGTCATTAAGCCCAATCCTGACACAAAATCAGCCTAATGGTCATTCTGACAAATTATGATCTCAGGACAGAAATCATCAACATCGCCTTCGTAAAACGACTCAGCATATTAGAGCCACATAACTGCCATCTGGTACTAGCAACTCTTAATCTAAAACATCTAATTTACATACAGTAGGTGGTGAACATCATTCAATAATAAATCCTGTCAGCTTGGGTAAGTTTTGATATGGTCTACACCTAGGGTTGCCAACTTCCAGAAATGGAAAAACGGGACACATGTATGTGTCCCCCGCCTGCACGCGCGCCCGCGCGCGAAGATTTTCGGGTTTCTGGCGGATTTAGTTACTTTTTTTTGTTACTTTATTTCGGTTTTAGGGTTAGGTTAGGGTTATGTTATTTAATTATTTTGGGGGAGCCAGCCCCTAGGGTTCGAAAATGTTTTTGGGGGTCAAACCCCCCAAAACCCTCAAAATGAAAACTATGCATACTTATAACACAATACAAACACAATGGTCTTACACCTGCATTAGGCTACTACATCACATTGTACATCAGCATGTTCAAATCGGATAGGTGGGCACCTCGATGTACAATTGGCTATTTTGTCCAAAATGTTAAAAAATAAAATATTTGAAAAATGGTATTAAGTAATGCAAAGTATACATGTGAACATGCACGGTACATCATTATTAGACTTAATGTTATCCTTCAACCAACCATTGTTGCTCGCTTGTGCAGTTCTGTGCCAGCATGCTGTTTCAGGTCGTTTTCTCCACCGTGACCTATTGAAAACTCCCTCCGACACAAGGTGCAGAAGACCCGAGACAGATCTCCACTCACGGTCTTTACCCACAGTCTATGGCTTTACCCAACTGTATTTTTCTTCCCACTGTGTGTTGTAAGACACAAGTCTTTTCTTTTTAGAAGGGCCAGGGCCCAGAACCACATCCTCTCTATCTTCTCCTCTTTCATTATCACCTCCACCGGCAGCGCTCATTTTCCCGCACAACTGAACAGGCTATGCCACACACAAACAATGATGCCGCGCCCGCGAAAATCTCTCACACACACACACACACACACACACACACACACACACACACACACACACACACACACACACACACACACACACACACACACACACACACACACACACACACACACACACACACACACACACACACACACACACACACACACACACACACACGCACGCACACACGCACGCACGCACACACACACGTGCGAGCATTGTGCCTGCCCTGTCAACTGAGCGGTCCTAGCGCCCTTCTTATACAGCACACAAACACACAGGCACGCAGCCAGACACACTGCATTGCGCGCAAACAGAAACATATTTTTTATTTTTCCCTTTACCGGGAATCCGGGACAAACAATGTCCCGTACGGGACACGCCCCTTTTGGCTAAAATACGGGACGTCCCGGCTAATACGGGACGGTTGGCAACCCTATCTACACCTAAACTGTAAATGTCACTGAATGCCAACACTTCTTCTTGACATTAGAGATCACAATGAATCTACTTGATTTATAGCCAATTCAGACATCACTGAAAAATGAAATTCATAACTATTTGATCAACATATTTATCATGGCAAGCCAGAACATGTAAAAAACAATACATAATTTAGTAACAGAACATTTTATTCTGGATACGGTAAATTTGCATGAACTATATTTGAACTGCTCTCAAGTATGTCATTCATATAAAAACAAATGTATTCTTGCAGTATCTTTGTATACCCGGAAACTTTTCTTATACTTACCAAAAGGCACATGTCCTTGTTTAAACAGAATTGTCTACTCGTTACAGTGAGGGCTTTTTCAACTTGAATCAATTTTGAGAAAAATCCGACGTATAGACTCACTCACTTATACATTTTTTTAATTGTGTTTTTAGTCCTATAGGAAATGTTTCAGGGACATGTTTGCTCTGTTAAATTGCAATGCTCATACTCATAAACTCATAACAGTTCATATAAAGGTTTTCTCGTTATTATGAGAAGTACGAGGCATTCTTATGATACAGATACACACTATTTCTATCTGTATATACTATTAGAACATTTTAAGAAAGAGTTTTATAAAAAATATACATTTTCAATTATGTTTGACTGCTCCTTTAAACCATATACATTACAGGGAATTCAATATATTGTATATAATAAGTGTTAACATACTGAAAAATAACCTTTTTTTGTGTTTCATATATATCCCTTATGAGATTAGAGGACGTTTTGATATTAGGAGGCATTTTTGGTGGGAAGTATTCAGCTATAGAAGAGGTCAAAATTATAAGCGATGGACACATCGGTTTCCCCCGGGACGTAAAGACCTTTCAGCTCTGGTACATCAGAGGAGAAAATTGGTTCTACAAGTACAATAAATATACCAGCGAGATTCCCCAAGAGGGAAGTCTTATCATCACCCTGACAAATCTGGTTGATGGCTAGATCCACCGATCCATAAAGCAGGGGTCATACTGTCGGTTAATGCATGCCTTTATAAGAAGAGTGCTTACGCAATAGTGATATTTATAATGCATTTGTATATGACCTTTTCTCTAATTGAAAAATTAATGAATTAATTACTTTATTGTCTTTCAATGCTATTAGTTGCCTACAAATAGTAATCTGCTATTTAGTTATCTTTTACTTTCTTTCTTTAATACAACTCTTTTGCTACATACATACAGTCAGTATAACAATTCAACAACATCCAAGTAGCGCTACAGGTTTCTTTTGATTGTTTATATAATATTTCATCTAGTACCCTATAGTATTTTATATAATATTTGTGGAGGGAAATATGTAAGAGAGATAAGTGAAGGTCTGCTGAGGAAAAATATGATATATATATATATATATATGTTGTTTGTGCCCTTAAGTACAACACAGGAGAGTTTTGTGATCTGATGCCTCTATCAGCACACCGGCATAATTAGTCTGTTAAATCCAATGTATGATGATGAAACATCTTTGTTTCTTCTCTTTGCTTTTGGATCTCAGTTACCAACTCAGCGAATTTGGGATTTTTTTGCAGGAATGTTGTCAAAGACATCTTAGTCTCACAGTTGTAGATAGACTGTGTTTCGGGATTTCTAAATACAATGTGTCTTACAAACCCTAAGGTCCTGTTAAATCCATTTAACATGGATTTAACAGGATAACATGCTGTTATTGGTCGGCTCAGCAGCAGGATGAAAAGAACGACTGAACCTGTTAGTTATCATCAGTGAGTGAACCATCTGTGTGCATCTGCATCAGCCGTTTGCATGTAACCGCCCCAATACGATGGGCCATTTGGTTGTTCTATGCAGTGTTTAAAACTACTCTTTGATTGTTTCTACCAAGTTTATGCAACAAAGGCTTTAGTGGTTCGTAGCATTAAGAGATTCGTTATTCTACAGACACTTGGTTTGTAATACTGCAAGTGAAATCAGTAGGCAATACACTCAATAAACATTGTATTACCTAATTTAGAAATCGACAAAAAGAGATTTTTCTAAATAAGAATCTTGCTATATTATTACTTTAAATGTGAAGAGAAATGTCTCACAACTCACTGTCAAATAATTGAATGGGAGACATGGAAATATGTTGATATAATACAGCCTGCAGTGGCCACAGAATAAATACACAAACAGTACTTCTGTCAGTCAACTGTCACTCAAGTATCCTGAGGTTAAGAGCTCTCGTTGTGTTTACTCGTAATCTTTGTGTCTGCCACTCACTATAATCCTCAAACAAACATACTGTCGAGCTGAAACCTAGTAACCTCAGAATGTGTTAAAAATGAAATGAAAGAGACAAATCTGTAGTCACAGTGTGGAGTGTGGTAACACTCATCATCACCAGGTCCTGCAGAAGAGAAAAGGTTGACATTATGAATATGATGTTGATGTTTTCGCTTACCTTGACTAAATCCTCCAGCTCGGAAGAGTTTACGCATGCGTGCATGGCCAGGAAGTTGAGTTTTTCCGCGAGAATGGCCAGCTTCTGGGAGCTCTCGTGAGGCTGCTCCAGGGCTCTGAATACCGTTGCTCCAATGATGAGGTAAAGCACCACCATGAAGAAGATGGCTGACACCGTTTTCCACCTCATGACTGTAGTCCGGGTTTCACACTCATCCTCTGGGGTGTAAAGCACTACCGGTTGGATGGAGAAGGACAGACGAGGCTTGCAGTTATGGGCGGCAGACTTCGGGTCAAGAAGGTCAGGTGTGGCCACTGTGAGGAAGGAATGTATTAATGTGGATCCATTTATTTATGTTGCATACTCATCTTAGTACCAACTGCACTGCCTTAACAGCAGAACATCTTCCCTAAGGGATTAAGTCTATCTACCCGTCTATCCATCTATCCATCTATCCATCCCTCCATCCTCCACCTACTCTATCTATTTATCTATTTATGCTAAAACATGGAGTTCTTTCATGTGTTTTATACAATGTTAGAGCAGGGGTGCATCACATATTTTCATTTCATTTTGGCGGTTAATTTCTTGATAAATCAATTCAACATTTACCACAATAAATGTCATAAAACAGTGAAAATTAACCAGTGCCATTTTCAAGAGCATAGAGTGAAGTTTTGAAAGCAGCTTTGCATTATATAGAAGAAGCTGGAACAACAGTGTTTAAATAATTTCTGCTGACATATCTTTTATTTATCAATTAATTGATCAGCAAACTTTAGGAAGGGATGACAGTTATAATTAATGGATAGTGAAATATACTCACTTCTGTCATAGTAAACTTCAAGCCTACAACATCTCTTAATACTGATTCAACCACTGAGCACAATGATCTTTATAATATCACTTACTATATCAATCCCTTCAGCCATACTTTCTCCCTACAGGAATCGTGACCTTTTTTTTGTGCTTTTGTGTCCCACAATACAAATGAGTGCAAAGCTCATTAAAAATGTAACTCGCTTTGTCAAAATCCCATTTCCCCCAACAGCTTGCAGAAGTAGATGCAATTACATAACCACCCCATGAGTTCCTAATAGCCAGTATTTCACTGTACGCAATGTATGGAGAGGATTACTTCTTCAACAGCTGAAATATATAATGTAAAATAAACCCATAACGATATTCATTGTTTTTGTGTTTGTTTTTACTATATGCATTATCTTAATTATTTATATCGTTGAAATGGGTCTTAAGATGCAGAAATATACTAGGTTATTATTATAAAAGCTACAATGCAAATGTCACATGCAGAGACAACATCACATATTAAATTGTGAAGCTAAAAGATTGCCACAATCACTAAATTCCACAAGCAACTCACTATAAAACAACGCAGACACATTCTTTATCCTCAATCTATGAAGGGGCAGTAATGAAAACATATTTATAACATTTTCATATTTCAAATGCTGAATTTCAACTAGTTTTTACGTACTTACTTCTCTACCATCTCTACCCTCTTTGTTTCCTCATCGACGGATCTTTTTTCCCCCAAAGAAAGGGTAAATAATGATCTGTTAGTGGGGCTTTTTGCCTCCGGTGCTCCCACCGAGGGACGTGGCCGCTCTCCACATGGCTTCTCCAGCGAGCTGCTCTTCCCTTCACTTTACAATCTCCGGAGAAAATACATCCAGGGCATTTCGTTTTCACCAAAAGACGCGTTTAGGACGGTGCGTAAAAGGAACAAGGGGAACAAATCACTTCCATGAAATCCATGCGGGTGTTTGGAGACATCGCTGCCCTGTGAGGACGCAGAGGTTTGGATTGTACCGGTTAGGAAGCTATTCACCCGAGTGACACATTGGAAACGCTGCACTCCCACTCGGTGTGACAGCTCCTACTGTAAAACAGAGAGAGAAGCTGCGTGCTGGCCAACACTTCACAGGCTTCCCATGCTGCAGAATCTCAGCCAACAATGCATGAGCACAAACTGAAGATGCTCACAGTTGAGATTGTGTAAGACCGGGCTGTAGCTCAGCATAGATTGGTCTCACATATATTGTGCATGGAAGACCACTCTTGTTCCATCATGGAAGCTGCCCGCCCACTGTTATCCCCTGGTGGCCTCTGAGCAGCCATTTAGGTTTAAAGTGCCTGGCTCAAGAGCACACTGGCAGATGCTGCAAACAAAAAGAGTGCTTTCTCCTTGCATTATGCATAAAAAAGCCAAATTGTTCAATTTGCTATTTGCATGTCATCACTTGGAGATGATTACTTGCAGGTTACCTAAGCATCCATTTATGGTGCACTCTCTTTTCCAAGGCCATTTTCCTCCAGTTTAAGAGAGGAAATAAGAAGCATTTTTCTTGCTTTGACGGTGAGTTAAACTCGTGACATCCCAGCAAACTTAGACAACAGCCATGCAGCTACTGCAAGGAGACCTCCAGTTGCAGGGGCTTTGATTGGCAAATGTTAGTGAGCGAAGTGAGTTTTATGTCACTGATTTGGTTTATATTTCTTTATGGCACGAAGGTTAGACCAATCCTCGGAGACACTAAACCAAGGCGGGCACATGTTTTTGAGTAATTGAATTGTCAGTTGCAGCTTGTTTTTCTCTTCTGACGAGGAAGTGTGCAAGAGTAGCTTTGTTTGCGCAGATGTGTCCACCAATATTGATTTGCATGAGCTACTGCTGCTAATTGAATTGAGAGACATGCCCAACTGTGCTGTTTGATGCTCTGACAGACACACACACACACACACACACACACACACACACACACACACACACACACACACACACACCCACACACACACACACACACACACACACACCACACACACACAAGATAATTGATAGAAAAATCCCCAATTCTGCTGACATTTCAGTTTTCCAGCTGCTGAGTTTGCTGAGGAAAGAATGCCTCTTCTGCAATAGATATAAGTAATAAATTGTATAGGTGCAGTGTGCAGCAATAAAAGCATAAAACAATTCAACGTGCTTGTGCTTCACCTTCTGAAGGGCTTTCAGGAGATTGTGTCCGCATTTCAACAAACTGCTTGTTCCATTATAAATCAAAATGTTTTTTTACTTTGTTCTATTTCTTTCATTCCTTTCCTTTTCTGCTCGTCTCTTTCTGACTTCAAATGATTCAGTGTCAAGCATCCAATCTGCCCTATAAAACATAGCAGATACATTTATCCTTTCACGTCTTAGATGCTGCCGCCTATTCGATGAATGTGCCCTCCATTATTCTAGCGATTATACTGCTCCTTAAAATATAATAACGTCTGGGGCTTTTTGATGCAGTATTTATAAAACAATGTTAAATTAGTACTTCTTGTTCTCATATTCTTTTTATAGAGCCACATTATTAATACAAAGTGAAATTATGAAATATAACGCTGTTGAATTTCCTCTGTGACACCCAGTCATGTCAATGTGTACTCAGGAAGTCAAGTGATAATTTGTCCAATATTAACTGTCCTCCGAGTAACCGAAGACTTTTGAAGATCTGCCGGTTTTTCTTATGTTGCTATGGTTACGTTCCTGCTATAATTGTAACAGCAGCATTTAATAGGCAGGATATAACAAAGGGAACCACACTGCAGTAAACCCACCCTGTTTACTGTGCATTAATGACCAGCTGTGCATCACCTTTACAGGGCAGTTTGTTATGTGTGCAGTTATGGTGCCTCTTCTCTCACTACAGACTGAGAGTGAGAGAAGAGTGGATCCACCACTGGTAGCAACACTTAAGGTACGAACACAAATCTGACAGAACAGATATGTAAAATGATGGGGTTAGTCTTAACAGCCTTTATACTTTATCTAAAGGGTGGTTTGTAACCCCTCCCTCCATAAATAATATTATAGATTATCCTCACTGCGCTCTATGTAGAATATCTGTATGTACTCACTCGCTTGTGCATTAAATGGGTCTATTTTCTTCGTATCCTTTTCTCTCTGTTCACCATTTGCAAATCCCTCAGTCTCCCCTTGTTTTCCTTTCTCTCTCTGCCAACAGTAATACGTCCAGAAGTCTGATTTTCGTATTTATTTGATGCATCTTTGATTTGAATCTACGTTTTTTAATCAATGTTGAGAAAAGTGTTTAATACAGTTGCAAGAAAAAGTATGTGAACCCTTTGGATTCTCCACACATAGCGTTGTGTGTTCCTTCCAAACAACTCAACTTTGGTTTAATCTGTCCACAGAATATTTTGCCAGTAGTGCTGTGGAACATCCAGGTGCTCTTTTGCAAACTTCAAACGTGCAGCAATGTTTTTTCTGGACAGCAGTGGCTTCCTCCGTGGTGTCCTCCCATGAACTCCATTCTTGTTCAGTGTTTTACGTATCGTAGATTTGTCAACAGAGATGTTAGCATGTGCCAGAGATCTCTTTAAGTCTCGAGCTGACACTCTAGGATTCTTCTTCACCTCATTGAGCATTCTGCGCTGTGCTCTTGCAGTCATCTTTACAGGACAGCCACTCCTAGGGAGAGTAGCAACAGTGCTGAACTTTCTCCATTTATAGACAATTTGTTTTACCGTGGACTGATGAACATCAAGGCTTTTAGAGATACCTTTGTAACCCTTTCCAGCTTTATGCAAGTCAACAATTCTTAATCGTAGGTCTTCTGAGAGCTCTTTTGTGCGAGGCATGGTTCACATCTGGCAATGCTTCTTAAGAATAGAAAATTCAAAACTGGTGTGTATTTTGTATAGGGCAGCTTTAACCAACACCTCCAATCTCGTCTCATTGATTGGACTCCAGGTTGGCTGACTCCTGACTCCAATTAGCTCTTGAAGAAGTCTTTAGCCTAGGGGTTCACATACTTGTTCCACCCTGCACTGTGAATGTTGACATGGTGAAAACATGAAAACATATAATTGTTTGTGTGGTATTAGTTTAAGCAGACTGTGTTTGTCTATTGTTGTGACTTAGATGAAGATCAGAACTCATTTTATGACCAACTTGTGCAGAAATCCAGGTCATTCCAAAGGGTTCACATGCAACTGTATTTGCCTCAGAGATGTAGCAGAAGTACACATTATCATAAAATGGAAACATTCAGGCACAGTACAAGTAGGTCAATCTTTATAATTGAGTACGATACTTGTGTAAATGTACTTTTCACCACTGCATATATGCTACTATTAATCCCCGTGATTGGTTAGATTCTCTTTTTGATGTATGTCTTCAGGAGAGCTCAGAGGTCAGGTCAGCCAGAGAAGATTTATGAGCACTCAGGCAAAGTGGAAACATGCATTTCATTTAAAACATTCTCTGCGCCAGAACATACCTAAAAATGTCTTTCAATGATAATGCTGATATGTTTTACCAGCAGAACAACAACACTTCTAGCTGTAGACATCTAGCTGCTTTGCTTTAGGGCTGTCTTTTGTCTGCTTCTTTCTTCTTTCTTCTTCTTTCAGTCTTTATTTCGAACAGATTAAAAAATAACAAATAACAAATGTGAAAAACAGAATACCGTATTGTTATCATACAGTATTTATCCACATTCATGGTAATATTTGTACTGTATATTCAACAAAAAAACAACAAAAAGTCTTCATATTAATAATAATAATAAATCATATGTGTCCGAAAGGGAGTAGGAGGAAGCAAATGCTTATTAATTCCCACCCCTTACTTGATCAATGATTGTCCTTTAAATCATTATGCAATTCCTACATACATTTACATTTATACATACATATACAACTTTGAAACACTCATATCTGATTTTCCCACTCTTAGCCTCTGAATATTGAGTGAAACTATCTTGACCTCATGATAAAGATGCTGGAAATTCATAACCATTCTGTCTCAGCCTTTTATGTTTCTTCTTGCTTTTAATTATTTCCTAGCGTTGGTGTAATTTGCAGTCTGACAGCATGATTGTGTTTCTTATCAGGTCAAAAGAGGAACAAAATCAATCTAAAAGCCTCTACTTGTATTAAAGAAGCCATTACAGCCAAGCCATACACGCCTCATATAATGAGACGTGAGGCGTATCTCTAAATTGCCTGCTCGCTCATGTTTGTTTGCTATCTGTTATCAAACTGTGCAGTGAAGCCACACACAATGAAGCATTTGAATACAGTTATAAGTTAAATTACCTGAGTTTCCATTGACTTTGAAAGCGTCTTATCTATAAAAGGTAGATGTGCAAGAATAAATGGCTCAATGTGACTCTGAAGTAATGAGCCTGAGTCAGACTAAACTTTCATTTTTATCCATTTGGATGTGTCTTCAACTTTATGTGAAGCAGTTACATGCTCAGGTAGAGTTTAATGTAGTGTTTCTGGTTTAACGAACCCATTTGTGTATTTTTCCATCTCGTTATTAGTCTCCTCATGAGCTATAAACTCACGCCTCGGCATCTCTTGTACTAATTTGCCGACTGTGTCTCTCGAACAGGACGTCACCTGCCGCAGGAACACATGGCTTTTGTAACATGACAGTAATCTTATTATCGGTGACATTGTTGTGCTAATGGCCTCTATTACCATAGCAATCTATCCTAATGTCACAGAAAAATGCACACACTGTTGTAGTGAAACATTTTACAGTTCCCATGGGACCAAAAGGTGCTCACAAAGTGCTTTCTTACAAACACTTTATGTTAATTAGAATTTAAATTCGAAGATTTAACAATTTAAGAATACATTATTTCCAAAGACTCTCCAATTCAAATGTCTTGCAGTATATAGAATGCCGTGCTTGTTATTTTGTTTTCAAAGTTAGAATATACAACAATGCAAAAAATAATTGTATCAGTTTGTTCCTTTATTAATGCAGAGCCATACAGAATACCAAGGTGCTCCATAGTTCAAATCTGACAACAATAACTGCAGAAAAGAAGAAGCTCCAAACATGATCGGCAACATCAGCAGACAGTAATGCTGAGAGTGGAAAGAGTTTAACGTCGATACGACATTCATATTTTATACTTTTGCCTGCAATCTTGCATTGTAAAGACTTCAAGGTATCACAAACAAATTGCTTCTCAAAATC